GAAGCCGGGAAAGGGTTAAACAGTCTTGAAATGTAAAAACATTCTCTAGCTAAAAAAATATTACATAAAACCTTTCGACCGCCTGAACTGCAGTCTTCACTGTGTGAATGATAAAATAATGAACAAATCTTAGGGCCTGTTTACGTGGAGGTGGGGGACCCAGGTAGGTGAGGTAACATGCGGCCAGTCGCCCCACCTATCACGTAAACGTGATCAAATTAATATTTAACAATTATTCCTCGAGTCCCAATGGGCTCTGAGTCAATAGCCATTGACTCAGAGGCCATGAGGGCGAGAGGAATAATTGTTTTAGTAAAATCCAACTAGTAGGTCAAAAATATCGAGAATAAAAGGCTATTAGCTAGTTAAAGCTAGACTTTAATCTTTTTTGCCGCCAAAAAGCCCGCGCTTTTCGCTACTAGTGGGCTATAACATATGGCCTAGTAGTAGCTCAACCAATCAGAACGCAACATTGATAATAGACCCTTAGTTGGATTTTACTAAAACTGATTATATGGACAGGCGGGTTACCCCACCTAGGCGGGTTGACTTACCTTACTGGGGTTCCCACCTCCGTGTAAACAGGCCCTAAAATATAGTGTGAAAAAACTGATAGGAATACAATGGAATAAAATAACAATTTATTACAGTTAGTTGAAGGCTTGAAATCAGTGGCTTGGTTAACTGGTCGTTCATTGTTTTTCTCTCTTAGGAACAAAAGGCTCTTGAGCGAAAAAAGGAGGAAGAAGAAAGAGAAAAAAAAGCTTTTCAAGCCTTGAGTGAACGCGAGAAGGTAATTATCTGTAACATGAAACAAAGGTTTATTGTCATTATAAAGCTCATTCATGAATTTATCCCTGAATGGTAGGGTGTCTTTAGCGGGCCATGTAAGTAGGTCATCGTCCAATCACAATTTGATTGGGTTAATAAAATAGCCTTACTTTAATGCCCAGTCAAAAGCATCAATAAGTTCCTTACGCGGGTGAATTTTCCCGCGCTTTTTGTAGGCTGCATGCCTCACTTGAGACAGATTCTGCGTATTTTGTGGCTGTCAGGGTAATGACGCATTTTCGAGTGTTCACTTGCCTCTTTTTAACAGCGAGGCTAATTGCAGAATGACTGAGATCAACACGAGTTTTATTTGCGTGTATTTAGTCTAACAACAAACAAAGTTACCGCGGTAAGGGAAAAACAAACGTTTTACAAGGTCGGGTAATTTTGCAAGTCGTCAGAAAAAATCTAAATCGTTGGCATAGGCAGTGGAGCGACAGAAAATTTTATTTCTAGGTTGCCGCAGGGTTGCATGAAGTCTTGATACTTTAAATATAAACTAATCTATTCTCCCCCAAGAGATAAAAAATGAAAAGAAGAGAGTTTTTAGCCGGCAAAGAAGCTGACGAAAATAACTAACTAGTTTTTTTTTTCGTGTTTTTGTTATAAGAGAGCACTTGCTGCTGAAAAGAGGTTGGCCCAACAGCAGGCATCCAAGCAAGCAGGGATAACTACATGGTAAGGACGTTTAAGTATGTATATTCCTCACATTACGATTGCTGGTTTCTCCTCTGACTCTAAGGAGAGTAAATACCTGCTCACTTAAAACTGCCCGTTTTAATTCCTCGTGAGAGTGTTCATCCGGGAACTTAAGGGAGTTTTAACATCAAACTTTCCATGTATCGAGCGGAAACAGATTTAATTTATGAGCATTGAATTCGGGAAATGCGTTTTCGTCGTTTAAAATGGACCTTTAGCAACCACGAAGTCAATGGTAGGGGTCATTAGATCAAACGTTTCGGGGGCTGATTACGGATTACGACACAAGTCTGGCTGGCCTGGTTTGCCGAACTGGTTAGCTTTGCGGAAGTGACTTTTATCCCGGTATTACATGAAGCGAGCCAGCCCCGAAGCCGCCCAGTCTCGTCCCCAGAGCCTCCGTTACTCTTATCCAGCGGAACGGGCAACTGAAGCTCTGCGTTCGTTATAAAAGGCATAAAGAAGCCTTTCGAAAATAAGAGAAAGGAAATTTTTTTCACAAAATGTCATTGTAGCGTGGTTTCGTGAATCATCGAGATAAACTGATAAGCTTGTGTGCACACAAATGACCTGTCAAAATCAAATCAACTTTCTCACGGTTTTTGGAATAGGACAATTGCATGATGACGTCATTTTACTACAACTACCAGAATCCTTGAGTTTGTTGTTTTCTTGTGCAAATTAAGGCTATTGTTTTTTAATCCTCAGCGGGATTGACAAATTTAAATAACAAAGCGAGACCGAAATGAATTCTGGTAGTTGTAGTCAAATATCGTCATCGTGCAATTGTCCTATTGCAAGGAGATTTGAATATGATGATTTATCGGCCAATCACAGTTGGGTTTATTCGGATTCTTCCAGTGGTCAGTGATCCTTGGTGCTAACCAAAAGGAGCTCAGCCTCTTGGAACGAAATTGGGAGCCGCCAGGTTTACAGAGAGATTGAGAGCAGTGCGTATGAGCATTGTTACCCACTGTCCGGTCGCTGATTTTGTTTGCCGGGGTGGACCGGCGATTGTGATTACATGGAAAATTTCCAGCCCGTTAAGCCGGGATCCTGGCCAAATGGGCGGACTCGGCTTTCATGTATTCACAAAGTTGATTTTTGTTTCGTTTAATCAACGAGTCTGGATCACGGCATAGAGAGCCACTCGGGAAAACCTGCAATTCCAGGCTCTGATAATCAGCCCCCTTGAGCTCATTAGCTGGTGTTAAAGATCATGTTTCTTTTCTGTGATTAGTTGTGCCTGGTGCAGTGCAAGTTTGACTGGTCAAGTTCCTTTTGAGCGACTTACTTACAAGTACTGCAGTACAGCTTGTGTGAAGGCCCACAGACTTGACATGGAAGCGCAGCAAAGATGACAGCGGCTAATGACAGACAGATAGAGTTAAATCAATAAACCATAGCCCATAATGATATGTATGTTGACGTTCGCCTCATTTGTATTCTGACCAGTTTGCTGCTTGTGCGCGAGTATTCTCTTCCACCTTTTAGCCTGAGAAAACAACTGGCATTTCGCAACCCATCACTTGTCAGTAAAACTCCGCGACAGTAAAGAGCTTAACACTATCAACTGTAAAAACATTGGAACTTATTTGATTTGGTCTGAAACTGTTATGGTGTAACAGAGAAAAACCCTTCCGTATGATCTGTATACTTGAATTCACAATTTACACAAATATTTGAATTCACGTTTCCGACAAAATACCGTTACCAACCCTTTTGCTTTTAAAATTGTACTCTCTCGTGTGCTTAGGTTTTGCATAACTTCTTTAAATGCCCTACCATTTTCACTCGTAACTCAGTTTTGGATGGCCGCACAATCTTTCCTTTCCGTTTATGAGAGGAACGCGTTACAAAGCCCTAAGAACGTCCGGGTGGGATTTTGGGAGACTTCTCAAGCATCGAGATTGTTGTTAATTATAAAGTGAATGATATTTTAAAGATGGCCTTTCCTAACGCTTTTGAGGTGTTCTTTTGTGAAAGACTGGGAGATAAAAAGATAAATAAATGAATATTGAAACAGAGCATACACTAACTTTATTTCTATTAGAAAAGAGCATTGTGATGAGGTATTAATTAAAGCTTCTTCGATTCCTTTGATCAGGTGCTGTCTCCAAAACGGTTTAAGTGCCCCTTCATTAAGTGATTTGTTAGGAAGAAAAAGCGAAGAAAACCTTTTACCTGCACAAATTCGTGCTGATCGCTGTTACCTTCCTACGTCATACATTTTGTAATGTGGCAACAGTTTTATTCTTAGATGTCATGTGATTTAGAAGCACCAATGACAGTGCTCGCTGATGGTAAAAAAATTTCCGTTATTTAATTATACATTTTGAAGAAGGAACTTTGCGAACGCGTGCGTTCATAACAAGTTTTTGTAATTCATTAAAATTTTGATGTATTTAATCTTAAGAAAAATCAGTTGAAATTGTCTCACATTTTTAAGTGTGCGAAACGATCGAATAATGATTGCAAATTGAGAATGGCAATAAATTTTCTTCGGTTGGAAAGCCGAAGTGCTACACTGGTTTCATTTTCAAGCTTTTGCGAACCCGGTGATTACGTGTTATACGCCATTTTATATCAGTTTCAGTTTTAAAGCTCTCATCATCATCACCATCACCACCAACATCTCCATCACTATCAGCATCGTATCGTCATCATTATCAAAAGAATCTTGTTCGATCATCCTTCGACGAACAATCTCAGCTTTTTCTTACCCGGTGAAAAATATTACATTAAGGCCAGGCTGACCTTAATGTGATATTTCAGTTCTTTCATACTGCCACCACTATCCTCAGACAGACAGTCAGGTACGTTCTCGACGCTGGTCTGCCCGACCCTTATTACTATATAATGTGTTAGGTAAAACAGGAAATTTTCCCTGGCAGCTCCGTATATTCACCTGTAAACGCCAATAGTCTCCTTTTGTAAATGAATTACTTCCGGTGGTTTCACCCTTTAAAAAGGCAGCTTATGTAGGTGCAGTCTCTAGGTGGTGTCATCAGTGTTGGTAACTACTTGACATGTCCAATTCACGTTGAACACATGCCAGAGAGGAAGAGTGTAGCATCGACCTCTTCTCTTTCTTTTCTAATGTTTTTGAGAGGATCGTTTCCTAAATCGTACAGATGCACTGGGGCATGATCTTAGCCGCATTCCACGCACATGCTTTCCTCACCTTTCCATCCGTCGCGGCATTCAAGCCGAGCAAATTAACTGATCGAGCTATTGGTGTAGGCGGATTGTCATTTCAGGACCGTAAAAAAGCTACCAGCCTTTATCGTTAAAAGTCATGTTAATTGTCTTTGCATGGTTGCATTCAAGGTAATTAAGTTCGACCCTCGGAGGTAGGTAGCTGAATGATAAAAAATATAACCTGGTTTGGAGTTAAAGGAACATCCGAAGTCCTCCAGCCCCCCTCCTCGCTGGATTTTGCCCCTGCTACCCAATAAAAATCCGATTGCTCAACTGGACTGGATACAGTTGCTGCTGTTATCTTTAGGAGTAAGCTCCAATTCCTTGTTACCTTCCTGTCCTTGGACCCAGCCCCGGCCCGGGTTATTTCCCAGGGGTGTTTGTGCCGTCACCGCGGAGGTTCCTATTGGCCAAGAGCTAAGGCATGGTGGTACGGGGAGTACGGAAAATAGCGCCATGCGAAATTTTTTGTTTAGCAGAATATAAAGAAATGGATTGATTGCGCTGTTTAGATGAGCTATCCAGGTAAAAACCAATTGAACTCTAAATGGTAGGGTGGGGCCTTGACCAGGCTGCAAGACATAGGCAAAGTAGTGATTAACGTACGTGGGAAACCAGCACAGGGCAAACACCACACATATGATGACCAACAGTCGCACAACTTTACGTTTAGAGTTATCTGCCATGGCGCGCAAGCCTTGAGTCATGTTCCCAGGGATTTGGCGTCGCGTTAATTTACGGCAAATCAAGATGTAAATTGTGATCGTCGAGAGTAGGGGCAATACGTACATAAGGACGAAAACACAGATGTGGAAGAATTTCAGCACGCGATAGGTTTCAGCATAGGTTATGTCATTGGGGTCCGCCCATGGCCACACTTGAAGGCACACATACGCGTTCAGGCCTGGATCAAATTTGACTTGGAACAACAATGCGTATGGGAGCATTAGTACCAATGATAGACTCCATATAATGCTGGACAAAATTATCGGTTTTTGAAAGATGTTCTCTCTCAAGGGATAATATATAGCGTAGAAACGATCCAATGAAATAANTTCCTTGTTACCTTCCTGTCCTTGGACCCAGCCCCGGCCCGGGTTATTTCCCAGGGGTGTTTGTGCCGTCACCGCGGAGGTTCCTATTGGCCAAGAGCTAAGGCATGGTGGTACGGGGAGTACGGAAAATAGCGCCATGCGAAATTTTTTGTTTAGCAGAATATAAAGAAATGGATTGATTGCGCTGTTTAGATGAGCTATCCAGGTGAAAACCAATTGAACTCTAAATGGTAGGGTGGGGCCTTGGCCAGGCTGTAAGACATAGACAAAGTAGTGATTAACGTACGTGGGAAACCAGCACAGGGCAAACACCACACATATGATGACCAACAGTCGCACAACTTTACGTTTAGAGTTATCTGCCATGGCGCGCAAGCCTTGAGTCATGTTCCCAGGGATTTGGCGTCGCGTTAATTTACGGCAAATCAAGATGTAAATTGTGATCGTCGAGAGTAGGGGCAATACGTACATAAGGACGAAAACACAGATGTGGAAGAATTTCAGCACGCGATAGGTTTCAGCATAGGTTATGTCATTGGGGTCCGCCCATGGCCACACTTGAAGGCACACATACGCGTTCAGGCCTGGATCAAATTTGACTTGGAACAACAATGCGTATGGGAGCATTAGTACCAATGATAGACTCCATATAATGCTGGACAAAATTATCGGTTTTTGAAAGATGTTCTCTCTCAAGGGATAATATATAGCGTAGAAACGATCCAATGAAATAACCATCATTGTCAGGACAGTAGCCGCTATCGAGACCGGTATAGCGTAGAACATAACTCTGCATGTTATCTCGCCCATTATTCCGCCAATCCACACGTCTCCACGATACAAATAAGCCACGGTATAAGGCATCACAGTGAGAGTCAACAGCAAGTCTGCGACGGCCATGTTGGCGATAAAAACGTTGGTTATATTTGTAGAAGAAGTCTTCTTTAAAATGGCGTACAAACCCAGCGAGTTGCCCAAAAGAGCGAAAGTGAAGATGACTGCGTAAGCTGACGTCATGCCAATTTGAATGTCTGGTGGAATACCGCTGGGCGGCGTTGGCGCGATGAAGGTTTCCGTCACAAATGTGTTGTTTGTGCCTATGAAAAGGACAGTAAACTTGTATAAAAATCATTTGCAATATGCGATAAAACCTTCTTTATTCACTGCCTTTCTTTTAGAATGAAGCTTTATTGTAGAAGTTGGAAGGGGATGGACAGAGGTTTACAGAGGCTGGTAAAAATGCTACCCAATTCCACCCTGTTGACGAATATCTCCAAATGACTTGTGGTTACTTGGGGAAAATCAAATGACATGGAAAAAATTGACACAAGTGAAGACACCGGAATCAAGACCGGAGATTCATAACTGCTACTGTAAATGGTTTAACGTTTTGCCAACTACTCAATACCCTTTTCATTTCCTTTGGTAAATACTAGGACATTAATCAGTGCAAATACAAGAACATGCACGAATCGAGGAGGATGTCAGGTCCAACAGCGTTAGCTACGTTATCAGTCTGCAGAGCACTGGTCTTCTGTTTTCGAACGAACCTTGATATTTGCCTGGGTCCGTTTTTGGTGGGCTAGTCAAAGATCAGGTAGAGCGATTGCGTTTTTTACAGGTTCAGATTAAGAGGAACACGAGACACAAAAGAACCAGTCGGTGCTGGTACAAATAGGGTATACCACCAATTTACTACTTCAGGCTGCTAGCCCATTCCGTCTTCTTTCCTTACCATTTTTTCCTGTTGTATTGGCTTCCCTGCTCATTTTGCTTGCGGTCGTTCAGAATTTCTAGAAAAAGGAAACACTCTCATCAATGTTTATCAAACGCCAACCATTGAAAATCATAAATTAATTAATTGGGAATTTGTTAGTTTCATTGACCCTTTTTCTAGTTATTGTTGCGTAGTAGTTTTCGGTCTGTGTGTAATATGTGTGGTATATATCAGGGACTAGCTCACGAGCGATTATTTTGGTCCAAAACGAGGTCGAACGAGGGCCGCGTTTTCAAGGGAGGGGACGTTTCTTAACGGTTTATCTTGCCGCGAATAAAACTTAATTAGAGGAATCTTTAATAGAGAAAAGTGCCAGCACATCCAGTTGGTGACTTGGTAACGGAGAGAAACTATATTGATGATGCGAGAAGAAAGTGACTTTGCTTGTGAACCCATGGTACTAAACTCTTTAAACCCCAGTATCATTGTTATATCTCTCTTGGTATAAGTTATCCATACTGTTACTGATATTCCTTGTTGTTTTGCTGGGGAGAATATGTTTCAAAATAAAAAATGATCATTCTGATAGGTTTGTCAAAACGGTATATTTAAAGAAGAAATTTGGTGTTACTGGTGGGAATGGGGCGCTTATTGAAAAGTAGGGAGGGAGGGGTTCTCATCTGCTAGTTTAAAGCAGGGTGGGGTCTGTGGGGGAAGTGCGCTTCAATGTTCGGTATAAACGCTCAGTTTTCAGTGCTACTGAATTTATTCGAAGAAGTACCGTAAATGAACGCTGCGCGTAAAACGGTTGGGGTAAACATGGACATTTAACTTTTTCGGTGCAAGAGTGGCCAGAAACAAAATGCAACATTATTTCTAAACTTCACTTTTTACTGAGATGCCGAAAAGTGAAAAGAGCTATATGAAAGTACTGGTTGAATGGTCACACTGCAACGGGATTTCTTTCACAGACTCAAAAGTCAAAACTCTCCTGACCACCCCACAAGTCAGACTCTATCAATCAATCTGCGAGTGGAAGGATTATACGGAGAGTCAAGTTAAAGTGTCAGAATGTTTTCATGAAATGACAGGCGAGAAGGGTTCATTACAAGCGATTTCCTGCTAAGCATTTCTCCTTTTTAGGCCCTAATTAAAGTAAAGAAAACGTCGACAAAACGAGGCACGTATACTTTTTAAAGCAAATACAATTTTAAATGTTTATTCACGAATTGCACCTCCAAAAATCAAATTACTTATTAAGGAAAATCATTTATGATAATAATTTGAAAAAACGCGGAAATGTTTCTGAAAAATCTTAAAAGAAAAAAGAAATGAAGCTATACTGAAGTAGAGATGTTTCGACTCTATTTTGCCTAATATTTTACACATTAAAAAAATTACAGTAACAATATCAGTAATTATAAATAACTATAGGAACATATGCAATAGGCTTATGTGTTTATTTCCCAAAGATTAAAAAGCCAGAAAGAAGAGTTTCATGATAAAATAGCTAAGCTAGGAAGAGCTAAAAACCTTTACCATCGATGGAAACGAACGTTTGAAGCCAATGATATTTTCCGCTGCTGGTCCATTGCCTTGCTCCTGACGATCTGACTATATCAAGTGTTCTTTTGGCATGGTTGGGGTTTTGTACTTAACTCGCGTTTGATCGATGTTGATGAAGGCTACTTTACCGTGGATTTCGCTTACTAAGTAATGAGTAACGAAGATTCAGAACGTAATGTGAAGCGTAACACGCGTATTCTATGCTAAGCAGAGGAAACTGTACATTATAAAGATATTGCGTTGTTTAATTCATACGGTAAACGACTGGATTTAGAATATATTAAATTTGTGGCGTACACGTGCCGTGAATTAAGGCTCTGCCGGGCTGGACAGTATTTAATCGAATTTGCGGGAACAAAGAAAACGATGGACAAAATGAAAGATGTCTTATACGCCCTTATTTCCATTACATCTTACTTATATCTACTTTTTGTTTTTTCATCGACAGAATTTATTACAAAACGGCACACATTTTAACGCAACTTTTTTAAAACTATTTTACTATTTGAATCGGTCTTTGTAGTTTTGGATATGTGTCTCTCACTTTCAAGAGTGTCAATTTTTGGGAGTCAGATCATTGCTAATGTTGCCACCTGATTTAAAAAAATTATGATCGAGAACTTACCAGTTTTTGCTTCGTTTGACACACTTGAAACATTACAGATGAAACGCTAAATTTGTGTCTCTTCGACAGATGAAAGTCAATAAAAAAGTGGTGCTTTTCTGCCTTCGAGCTTTGATCCCTTACTTTCTTACTCGCCCAAATCGCGTAAATTTATGTCGCAGAAACGTACTCGCCAAGCTAAGGTTCATTACTTCAAAAGATCTCTTTGAACCTGACGACTGAGCAATGCTCCCTAGGCACCGTGAAAAGAATTTTAAAAAGAATCGTGATCCCTGTCTTTAACTGACAGATTTGTTTTCCGAGCGTATCAATATTTGTCGCCGATTGGCCAAGTGTATTTGATCTATTATTCAAATACATTTATCCGGTAGCTAACTATGCTAGCAATCTCTAAGTTTGTTTGCTTATACAGTGGCAAGCGAAGGAAATTTACCCAAATATTGAAAGTGTTTTAGTGGATTAAGAGATAAAATCTCTCTTGACTGAAAGGCCGCGAATTGACCTCGCGGGCAAGGAAAATTGTAAGCATTCTTAAAGCAAGAATTAAAGCGCCTATTGTAGATTCATAACCTCTAAATAATGATTTATGCCCCCGGGGGGGACTCTGCATATGAAAGGGGTGGGGATGCTCGTCGGAAATTTTGAATTAAACCCCCAAAGGAGACCGATCTGGGCGTGGCCCAAGCTTTTTTTGACCCCGAAAAGAGACCATGTTAAAACACAGGCAAATAAAAAGAATGGACAAAGACGTCTTCTTTAAGTATTGATGTTATAAAAAACTTGGATTAAATGAATGGAGTAAATAAAACGAGTTAAAAATATACATATCAAATATATATTTATATATTTTTTCGCATGCAACCCTGAACGAGACCTTCACGGCTGGCGTTTTGCCCAGAACACCCTAAGTACGACCAAAATCGGAAATTTACACCCCTAAGCGAGACCACAAGCATCCCCACCCCTTTCATATGCGGAGTGCCCCCCGGGTTTATGCCTCGCTTGACATGAATGCATCATTTTCAGCAAATAACACAATGGCGTAATATTTAGATCAGGAACGTTCGCGTTTAAATAAATCCAGTAATTTGAAAGAGGGGAATTTTGTGAAGTCAAACGATTTGGCTTATTTTTCGTATACTTATAAACCAGATTGACCTAAAACGTAAACAAGTGTAATAATTAGAAGCTATACAGCAAGCGGTTGTCAATTCTTGGGCTAACTCGCGCGCCATCAGAAAATCCTCAAAAATGAGACCTCGCTACCAAAGGTTTTCTATGCGAACCTCTCAGATTGGCGAAGACCAGACCTGATTAGGCCGCATCCTTTAAATCAAAAGTCGGCGGACAGAGTGAAAATCAGCCCGGTTCTCCTCTCTCCACTTAAGCCGCGCATGTTCGCGTTCCCTGCAAAGATCGCCGCCGTCCGTGCCGTGATTACAGGTTACGTTTTTCGAATGCTTGGTCTCCGTGCTTAGTAACGGGTATACACTTTGCCCATTTTGTTCTGGAATCGGGTATGGTTTTCGAGGGAGCTACGGGTGTGTATCATCGTATTTGTCGTTTCAATTCCAAGATAATGAGTAAGAAAGAAAGAGAAATATGCGAATTCGAAATGGATTTGAAGAATGTTTTTGTTTGCGTTCCAATCTAAGTAATGATAACATAATTTCTGCCTAAAGGCCAGGTCTGAAAACGGGTGTGGAAAACTAGTTACATTTTTTAGTCTGGAATATGGTCAGGATTTAGAGAACCGGGCGGCACACCCCCACCAAGAATTCCTTGGAGTACCCCCGGGTCCCACAGTCAAACTCTCGCTCACTGAGCAGTATGTTGGAAACTTAAGTAGTGAAAAAATCCCAATACAATCCATTGAGCAACCCTTTCTGTTTTTATTACTTTTCATTATGATCTACAATGGCAGCTGTAGTTTTGAGCCTGTTTTCCTCCCAAACAAATTGCATTAAAAGACAAACATTTTCATATAATTAGGTGTTCTTTGTCTCTTGACATCTCGCAAAACGAAATCTGCCGGGAAATTTTCTTTTTGCTTTGGCTCATTCCACTTATTAATGAATTTTTTAAAAATCCAGCTTTCATTGAGGTAGGTATTTTCTCTTTAAACGATTTCAGTTCTAATCATGTGCCTGAAAGGTCGATCTCTATATCCGGGCTATGTCTACAAGCCTACAGCAGTAGTGTATCAATATATCATGTGTCTGATCCTACCTTTTCCAAGATTTTTTGGCTGTCTCTACAGCCGACACAACTGATCATCGTTTTTCCGAACAGACGTAACCCCGGGGACGTAACAAATAAAGGTATTTTTGAATGAGTGCTTTGTTTTGACGATTTCCTTATCAGTGAGAGACACCACGTCGCGCGCTAAGTCATACAAATGTACAAACTGTTACTCAAACAAAACATGTGAATAATACGTACAACCTTCGCCATCGGCCAATCGGGACACTCAGAGTGTCTATTGCGGAGATAAAAAAAAAACAAAAACACAAAACACAAAACAAAACAAGACAAAATGCACCTGTTGCCTTCAGAGCGGCGGATGGTTTTTCCCCAGGGAGTCATTTTGTGTCACTGATACTCTTTGAGTTGAAGATACAGTTGCTCTCCGGAGGGGGAGCCCCATACTTTGCACAGTGGTATTGCAAAGGCCGGGTTATAGTTGGCATGTTAAGCGAAGCAAGCGTCGACTAGGTTATGGCAAACAAGGGAAAAGTAAGAGGGATTGCGAAAGGAGGTGAGCTAAGATTTTGAAACGAGTCTGGAAAACGTCTGAAGTGTTAAACAATTTCTAAGAGGATGCTTTCGATATCTGAATTCCGTCTTCGTAACGAGCTGATGAGCGCTCTCTGTTTTCTTTTCTCGATCGAATCGACTTGCCTTCCCAACGTAATGCTATCACTCAGCGTTCGATTCTGAGCTTTCAAAAGCATACTCATCATAACTTACGAGCCTTCTAAAGACGTCATTCAGTACAGACCAAAATACAACATAACCGTATCCAGATATGGACCACAAGCAACTTCTTTATATCTTTTTTTAATAACTGGGGTTTAAAAATCTCGTCAATATTGGGAGAGAATACTGATGACGTGTTTTCACTGCTTTGGACAGCTGCGTAAATATATGAAATGATAAATAATTTCGGAAGGCCCCTCAAACTGCGCAAAGAACTATATCAGATGTCTTTGAACGTTCTAGATTAAGGGGCACCCAACGAGAATATAGTTCAAAACCACTTAAACATGGCATTGTTAAACGTATTTTAGTATTTAAACGGTAGATATAGGCATATTTTTATCCCCTAAAAATTTTTCATCTATTCGGATTTTCTAGCTGAAAGTCTAGTGATCCGAAAATTATAGG